CGGGAGAAAGATGAGGCTTTCTGCTCCTGTACTGATTTACAGCCTGGGAACCACACAGGGAGAGTTCTATCCTGCTCCGAGGGTCTCTCTTAAGTTGGAATCCACTTGCGGCAGTGAGTTTTTTATTGCACTTTGGTTTAGAGTGGCTGTTTGGTGCGTGTAGGTGGGAAATTTTGATGGTTGGTGTGAAACTGTTTCAAGGCATGAAGAACAATGATGTAATTGGTGGCTCTGAAAGTGGAGCATCATTGCAAGTTCCTCCAAATGGTCCTCCCACCCTCTATAGCCTCATGGTGAAGTGCTGCCTGCAGGCAGTCCAAGTTTATTGAACTTACAGAATGATTTCAGCATGATCCTAGAGGAAGAGAAAGTTCAGCAAGAGGAGCACATGAGAATGGAGTCCAAAGGAAAGGCTATGTTTTATTTTTTTATATCAATTGGAGCCCTGGTGGCATAGTGGTTATACAATGGGCTGGGATCCTCAAGGTCACAAGTTTGAAAACACTAGACACTCTTGTGTGAGAAAGACTGGGCTTTCTGTCCCCACAAAGGGTTACAGTCTTGGAAACCCACAGGGCAGGTCTACCCTGTACCTTTAAGGGAACTATGAGTTGGCATTGATTCGATGGCAGTGAATGAGCCAGAAGTAGATTGTATCTTTTAAAGGAAGGAGAGCCAAGGACGAGATCTCTAAGCCCAATAGACCTGGCTCTCACTATCCAAGGTCCAGTAAAGGATTTTTGTCCTAGCCCACACCACCTGGTACAGAGCAATGATCACCAGGTGAGATATAGTCGATTACTCAACATGGTCCTTCTGTGATCTATTATAAAATCTAGTCTGTGTCTGTAGTTATATGCCCATTCTGGAAGGGGTCCTCTGCTACAGGCCTAACGTGGGGTGAGCTCTGAGTTTCCACCTTACATGAGTGTATGGCTCCAGTCACTACCCTTTGTTTCCTTGAGAATATGGCTCGCTCAAAGACAAAAGGCCACCTCCATCAACGCCTTCCCTGTTGTGACTCAGCTTCTTGATTGAAAAAGCTGTAAGACCTGCTTGGACTTGTGGACATTTTTGGCTCCTAGCTCTGGACTTTGCATTTGACTTGCCTCGACTGACCTTTGGTTCTTGGAACTAGATTTACAATCTACCAACTGACCTGCGTTCCCAGCTTCTGCAGCCTTTGGGTGGCGAGACTCCTCCAGACACAGGGCTGAACTTCCGATTTGGGACATAACGGCTCTCACAACTGCACGAGCCATTCCTTTAAAGCTCCGTGAGTTCTGTTAGATGCTCCAGCAAAGGGCAGAACCCAGGGGGCAGGAGGGAATATACTCAGAGATGGAGTGGTGGTGACGATCAGAAGCCAGGGAGTGGTATAACATCTTGGAAAAGTTGACATCTCTCAACTCCACCTCCTTGAGACTAGTCTGGCATTAATTCTTCTAAAAGAAATTATTACCACATGGGGTCTCTGGCTGGCCTGGCTCCCATGGAATTCCAGCCCGGCTAGCAGCATCTACCCAGGCCAAGCCTCCCCCCCCCGTGGAACCGCAGGCCTCAGGAGATGTGATGGGGAGCATTCTGCAGGTCTGGATGCCTGAGGAATCTGGTAGGTGTGAACAGCCCACCTGATGAGGAGCACCTGGCCCAGCAGTGACAGGAAAAGGAGGTGTGGGGGGAGGTCAG